AATTTGAAGGTGTAAAAGAATACTGCATCTTTACCATGATTTCTATGTTTTTGATTTGGATGAGCTGAGCCCTTCACACTCTTAACTCTTCCTAAAATACAATGTCTGAGGTATTTGTCTCTAAGAAAGCTGTGTTTTTGTTGCTTAAAAAGAAATTTTCAACCACTGCTAAAGGTGTTTGGAGCTTCTCTTTGGCACCTTGTTATTATAGACACATAAAAATGTAGACAAGTGGGACTTGGTAGCAGATTATGAAATTTAAGTTGATTAAAATCTGTTTGTCAAAACCCTGTTTTTTCCCATGTAGAAGGAGTTCTACATGAAAAGGTATGAAGAGAAAAATAAAGGTAGGGTTTGAGGTAATTTGGGGTATCCTGTTCATGAATGGTCCAGTTCAATACAAAAGAAATCTTACAGCTGCTAAGAGTCTGACCTGGTGCCCAGAAATGTATAAAAGCACAGCTGGCCCTGTCTGGGCTGCAAATCAGCTTTAACACTAATGGCAACGACTTTATTTCAAGAGAGTATTTAGCTTAAAAAAATGAATTGGGGCTGCATGTTCCAAATGTCATCTGTCAATTTAACAAATGGCAGCTATATACACATCTTAATGCCAGATTGCTGTTTCATTAGGCTCCTTGTGAGTTATTCCTTCTTGGTAGCTGGCATTATTCTAGCTGGAGCAGCAGAAAGGCAGGAGGGAAGAAGCTCCTCGCCACTGCGATGCAGGGCAGCTCCTGGCTGCTTTTCAGGGGGCAGCAGGAGAGAGACGAGGGCACAAAATGAAAATATGCTAGAGGAGAACAACAGGGGGGCGAGTTCTGCGGTACAGCCGAGTTAAGCTGGTGACAGGAGCAGACACAGAGATATCTTGGAGCTCGGTCTGTGACTGAGCAGACTGCCCGAGGGCGGTCTGAAAGCTGAAGCGGCAGGCAGGTGCTCCGAACGGGAGCACTCTGCAGCTCTGTGGCAGAGTATAAAGGCAGATCAAAGGCTCGCAGGAGGGAGCAGATCAACTCCCAGTACAATATGCTGGAGTGAGTGAGTGCTGAGGGAACAGCAAAGGCACAGGGTGAAGGTAACACGGGCAGGAGTCCGAGCTGTCCCACTTTGCCCAGCTCCGACCCACTGCAATGCCATTTCCGAACTGTCCTCTGGGGCACGGCAGCACCGCAAGGACTCTCTGCATCTATAGGTCAATCCATAGGTTGACTTTCCCTGAGCTGCAGTTGCCCATACCAAAGTTGTCAGATTTCCCATGCAGTGGAAATGCTTCTGAAGTGTCCTACTTTGTAAGTGATCAGGGTTTTGTGGCTACCGTGGCTGCGAGCTTTCAGCCCTCCCCCTTATCACTGGTAACTCAAGCATCCTTATGGAGCACCCTGACAGGATAAACACATTGAAATATTTAAATAAGTGCAGTAAACTTGTATAATTTTGAATGATTCATTCAGGCTGCTGCCAGTACAAGTGCTGCACAGCATGACTGGAAAGAGGTTGCAGAGGGCAAGAAAAGACTTATTTTCTGTCTCTAGGGCCAGGTAATAACAGGCTGGTCAATACGGGAACAGCGGGCTCCCTTGCCGAGCAGCTCTGAATGCAGAGGTGCGACAGAAGGGCAGCTAGGTAACTTTGTTCACAGGATAAACTGACTTTGCTTGTACCTCAGCATCCAGGGCATTTCATGCTAGGATTCATAAACCAGAGGTAATGTGAATCACTCTCCCCCATCCCACAGTATTCCCACTAGGAACCTGCTTCTCCCCAGAAGTCTTGCTCGCTCAAGGGTTGAGTGGCTCAGCAAATGAGCTGCTGCATTCAGCACCTTGCTGGAAAGCTTTTGAGAAGGGAAAATTGTGTTGGATCCTGACAGAGTGCTGGCGCAAGTGCTGAGACATCTGTGCATAGGCAGTGGAGGGTTCTGCTGGAGAGTTAGAAAGTGAGTCCAGCCTCCACCCAAAGCCCTCATGCTCAAACTAGTTAATAATCAAATTGTCCCCTTTTTTTTTTTCTTTCTTTCAAGAAAAGCAGGTTTTGCAGGGAGATGAAACATAGTTACTTGCATTCATTTTACTTTAAATGCATGGAAGAAGTTGGCAAGCTTTTGAACTCAGTGTCCCTATGGCTAGATGTTGAAAATCTTGCCTGTTTTTTCCGAGTCATTTGTTTCAATAGAAGATGTTGCCCCTCCATACAAGCCTTGTTTCTCTTTTGCAATGTGACTGCACAGATAATGGCTGTTGTTTATATCCTCCCAAACTAATGTGGCTGTGATGGCTACCTCTAAGGTTTGAAAGGAGAAAATAGGAATCGAGTCACAGGAAGCATTAATTTTTATTGCACTGCCTCCTTGCATGCAGAGAAAGCTCTCAGGGTTAGAGAAGTACCATGGCAAACCTTGCCCCACAGGTAGATGTGAAATGCTGACACCATAAAAATCAGTGCCCCTCCAAGAACACTACAATCTCAGTCATAATTTCAGAAGCTGTTTCTGCTTTATCCAGCAAGACAGCACACACAAGCACCACAGAAACTGAGGAAAGTGCATCACTGCTCAGGCAGAAATCAGAGATGAGCCCAAGTTTCTGCCCCTGGCAGAGCTCTTCATTTTATTTTACCCCCCACCCTTCCCCTACCTCCACGCCCCCTGTTTCTTTTTTTAAATCACTTAGATTTTAAAAAGACAAAAGGAAGGCACCATGTGAAAACATCACTATGGAAACATCACAGGCTCGCTTGCACTTGCCTGCCAAGCAACTACCTAACTGAAGTTTTACATCCTTTTGGATCACTGTTGGCCATCTGCTCTCCTTCAAACTTCTCTGAATTCCATATTTTCCTGAAAAGTTCAATTTTAGAAAGGAGGGAGGAGGAAGCAAAGGGAGAATCCAGTATTCTTGGCCAGTGCAGAGCTATTGTGAAAAAGGAAGATAACTTACTTTGGAGCAGCCTCTTAAAAAGACAAAGATCAATGTTTTGTGAAGTAATTTCATAGAAAATACCTTGTTTCTAGATGCACTTTAATGATAAGAGTATATATTGGCAGCCACAAGGCAAAACACACAAACAGCTGCTTCTAGTAATCTTGCACTAATTGTCATCCTCGCCCTTTCTCTCATTTAGCCTCAAATGTATTTTCTTCTAAAATATAACAGTTACTGCCTACACTGGAGTTGTTGGCTGCAGGCTCCACAGCCTTGCTCCAAATAAAACACAGAAACAGATTTCCTGCCAAGCACTGAGGAAGTTTGAAGACTTTAGTTTTCAAAAATACAATCTTTTTATCAGTGCCCTAAGCCTGCCAAAGGTAATTATGGGCCATGGTGCATTTACATTAATGCATAGGACCTACAGACATTTCAAAAGCCTAATGGAGAAACTCCATAAATGTACGTATTGAAAAACAAATTAATTAAATTAAACTGTCATGTAAAGATATCACTTAATTTTGCAGAGCGGAAGGCACTCTTAATGGGAATGGAATGGATCAGTGAGCATTTCAAAACCCAAAGCTATAATTTAAATTCAGGCTCTCCTCTAGTGTGCAAGTCACAAGACATATTTATTATAGCCTTGGATTGTCAATTGTAATTGGTTTAGCAGAGACAAAGCTGTATTGTTTTGCTTCCTGCCCTCCTAGCTGGTTCAATATATTTTGATGTCAGACTATTGACAAGCAAACCAAAGGCTGAAATAAAATTATGTTTACCTGTAATGAACTGGCAAAAATGCAGTCCAAGGTGACTGAAACGCTGAAGCATAAATGCTTATTTATCAAGCAGCAAGGGGAAAATAGTAAAGCATTTGAACTTCTTTAAATAAACCAGCTGAATATATTTACTGCTGCTCTTTGAGTCCTGCTATGTGGCAATCTAGAAAAAAATAGATAAAATAAATAAAAGCACTGTGAAAATGAATAGCACCATTTATATGCTGCTGTTCTTGAGTTTCCAGGTGTCAGTAACAATTAAAGTAGTTGCTTTTGACACTCCTCTAAAGCTAGAGCCAAAGCCTGACACCAGGTCCCCAGCAAACAGACAGCAATACTTCTTCCAGCATGTGCAACCCAGTTTGCTGCAGGATTTCACCTGGCAGCAGCAGTTCCAAACCCAGCCTATGCTTCTGCAGCCATGAGCAAACATCTCATTGAATAAGCCTCCAAGAATGGTTTGATTATTTTCCTAACATTCTTTCTGGATTCTCTAATTCTCTTATTAAGTTCACATTCTGATGTAGAGCACTAAAACTAGTCAGTTCCTCAGGTTATAATTGTTATGGCTTCCTCTTGCCTTTTTTCCAGCCCTTGCATTGAGCTTAGTCATGGAGAGGCTTCTCTGAGCCTGAACTTAGAACCTTCTACCCAGCATCTCTGTAACTTCTTGTGGATCTCTCAAGTTTGCAAATCTGACTCTAAAACATGCTGACAAGCTCAAAACCCACGGTTAGGAAGAGCCGTGGCACAGCAGACTGGGACACCTGCGTGAAGCACACCTCTGAGGGCAGTGGCACATGGCCGGCCGGGCTCCTGCTCTGCTGGGAGGGCCACTGGCAGCGAGGGAGGAGAGCACTGCATGGCTCTGAGGAGCAGCTGCTGCTCACACAGGAGCTGACGTCTTTATTTTATAAAAATACCTGCGTAGCTGTTTTTGTTCTTACTTGGCTAAATAGTAGGATTTTCAGGTGAATGGGTTCTGGTTTTGCTTCCACTGTAATCCTTCAGAAGTTTGTTCCCCAAACTAATTATTATGCCAAAAAACCCCAAACCCAACCAACCAACCAAAAGAGCCAAAACAAACCCCTCCCCCGATCCGAATCTGCCTCAATACTATACCATTGTTCTTTTGATTACACATTACAGTAAACAGAAGTATCTTTTATAGTCTTTCTGTAAAATGACAGCTTTTATTGTACTACCCTATTTTTCTTCCATGCCCCTGTTCCATTATTAGCCTTGATTGTTCTCAAGAAAAGTTTTTGCTTTTCTCACCCTCTTCAGTCTCTTTTGGCTTTGCACAAGACTTGAACTGTTTATTAAGTGATAGGTTACCACTGACAAAAAAATTGTGTTCCAATTTAAGGGTTGAAAAATTGGACAAAGCTTTTAAAATGTGTTTTGTCCTCCTACCAGTAATCTTTCTACTTATTTACATGGCTCCTATGTCACACATGTTCCAATAACAACATCCTTCTTTGAAAGAAGGCAATGGGAAAAGAAAGTGTTCATAGCCCCTCTGAAAAAGAAATTATGTTGAGAGATTGAGGTCCTGGTTCAAAACAGTATGAAGGCTCTGATTTCTACTGTCACTGATGTCTGACAAGCCAGATGTCTGATGTCTTTAATTTGGACTTCAGTGATTTCTTCAAGGTATAAAAAAATTATGGTTCAGCTGAGATGTGAATATATCTGTAGTGATAAATTGCCATCTCCAGCTATCTCCAGCTATCACCAGCCAAATCCCATAAACATAGGCATGCCGGTTTCTTTCCAATAAAGCCATCCCAGTCATTAAAAATGGTCTTTTCCTAAATAGATTTTGCAGCTTAGCTGTATGATTCACAAGCCCTTTGAGCTCTGAAGCAGATTAAATCTACAAACACAGCCATAACTTTTGTTTATGAAATGGGAAAGACTCAAAGAGAGCTCTAAGTAATGGTCAGGAGAATAGGATAGGCTACTGACATCAGTTAAAAAGCTTAAATCAAAGAAATATTATTTCTAAACTCTGAAAATAGCTATTATGATAAAAACATTTCTTTCCCATGTCACTTTTTAAACATTAAGTAAAAACATAAAACGTTGGAATTCCCAAAATAAAATACAAATTCTAAGTTATTAAGAGCAATGGTGACAAATTAATGCTTTTAATATTCTTCTTAAAAACACTTTTGAAAGTATTTATTTGAAATATCTAAGAATGTAATTGTATTCAGTTTTTATAGTTATAAAATTTTGAACACACTTCTGCATAAAACAAAAAAAGCTAAATTTCTCAAATTTCTGAATAACAGCCAAATAAACTACCAAAAATTTCAACCTTCATGTAAGTATCCACTAAGAGGTATGCAATCAAGATTGAACCATACTTGTATTCTTAATTCATTAGTGGAACTTGAAGGCCCTCTTCTGGATTATAAATTACTGCATGGCCAAGCAAAGTACATGGAAATCACAAATCCAACCAACTATGAAAAGATAAATATCTTAAATATATTTTACTCATGTTATTACCAACTTCATTTCTGGGTTTTCACTTGTATCTGCCCATCTTGGTTACTATAATTTAGGAGCTGAGAACAACTTCTTAGTGGATTCTTAAAAATAAAGTATTTCTTATACTGATATTCACAAGAATGGACAATCTAAAGAGAGTTGTGGAGGGTTTCTCCAAACTTTGTATGAAGCTGCTGTGCACCCAAGTGATATTTTCTTATTTTACTAAGCAACAGCACACACAAACAGACATGTGATTGTGTGTATGTCCCTGTCTACACAGGTATGTGACTTTCAGAAATTACCTCTGGAAATCTGGCTTGTGCTAAAGTACAAAAAAACAAGGAAACATTTGCAATGGTCCTAAGTCTTCAAGGACTGTACAATTTCTTTATATGCCTTTTGAATAAATATACACATACAGACTGTAAAGGACATACAAACGTAACCTTATAAGAGAGTTGCTTGCTTGCCTAAGCAAACATTTGCTATTGAAAAGCAAGATGCTTCTCCACACACAGAAGGAAAAAAATATACTAGAATGTGCTGTACAAAAGCACCATTTTAATGGATCTGTCTGTAAATGAGTGGACTTGAACCACGAATTTTCCTCTTTCTAAAAACAACCATTTACTCTTTTTTTTTTTTTTGTCATGATAACAAGAAATCATAAATACAGAAATGCAGGAACAGGTACTAAGTATCCTATTAGTAAAAACTTTGTGGAGAAAATTAAACATAGTTTGATTGAACTGCACATTTTTAAAAAAACAGCTTGCTGAAGAAACTTTCACATATCATTTTTTGGTTAGTTTCTGTGTCCCACCAGTGTAGGGCTACTGACGATGATCCTTCTTCCGTACTTTTGATTTTGGTGCTGCCAAGAAACAGGAAAGGAGAAGAATCATCAGAAGTGAATTACAGTAATTCCAGTGCCAACATTCTTTTAAATTAGGTTGGGATCAAAATGGATGCATTAATGTAAAACCTACCATTGGGATTTTCTTGTCTGTAAAAAGCTTTTAACAATTCCACTGCTTCTTCAGCACGATAGCCAGAAGAGCACTGTTCAAATTAGAATGATGTTAGTGAGCACATCTGAGAATAACCTATTCCATGCTTCACAATAATGCCTTGAGTACAGAATAATTTTAAACAACTGTATTGTCAGCTTGGGGGTGAAAAAAATCTCCTTTTTAGGCTCAATACCTAATACATTTGAAAAACACTACGTTGAGTCTTAATAGAATAAGGAATTTCCCTAATAACTTACTATTAGGTAAAACAAACTTTCTTAGTAAATTATGTAAAATTTTCAAGCAATCTACAATTTCTTTCTTACTAATGTGTTTCCAACCTCCCAGACTCCTCAAACACTTGGAAACATAAGAGACATACACCTATCTTATTTGCAGATAAGATTCCTGAGAGAAAACACTCATCCACATATCTATTTTTTATTCCTAACAGTCACCTTTCAGATCTTTTTGGTCCTTCTAAAATACTTTTCCATGCCATGAACACTAATGACAAAGCATTTAAATGTCACTCACAATAAATAAATCTCTATTCACGCTAGAAAATAAGTAGTTACTCCTATACATTCCACTGCAGTTGCCTACAGAAATAAAGGATTCATAGTATCAAGAACCTTCTCCTTTCTGTCTTCTGAATGTATAAAAAAACAAAATACCACATGCCAATGTTAGTAAATGAACACTTTTCCAGTACTGACTACACCAATTAATTCAGATGTTAGTCTCACTGACACACTGACAGAAAGATGCCTAACATGTTTACACTGGAGTGCCAAACAGTATTGTTTTCTTGACTGAAATTCTTTGAGCTTGAGTCTTTAGTACTTATTTACAGTGCTGAAACACATTATTTGTTTTTTACATTCATTAAATCATTAATGTGAGATGTGGAAAAAGAACTCCAGGAATCAGTATCACTGTATAAGGCAAGATCATGTACAACTGTGAATAATGTAATAAATGAAATGCTATAAATAGTCTCCAGAGGTATGTATGGGTACACAGGTAGTATCATGTAAAGCACCTAGATTTATTTATACTCTACCTCCACTGAATGCTTGTCCAGCCTTTCTCACATGACAAAGATGCCTAAATCACCCCAGACACTGTTCAGTCTTTCAGTATCCCTACTATTCAGAAAGCTTCTTGATACCTAAACTGAATTTCCTCTGCTACTGTTGCAGTTCAGATTTGTTTTGGGATTTGCACTACATGAAGTAGGTCTAAGCTAATAGATTTTACCTCATAAACACACAGATTGAAAACAAAAAAAAAAAAAAATCATTTCCAGTGGCTCAGCTAAAACCAAGTAATTTTGTAAGTTGCTGTTACTTGATATTTATTGATTACGTTTATACATTCTGCAGCTTAAAATAAATTTCCCTCATCTCTTCCTGCAGCATATACTTACTGTTCTAAGTATTACACGTATTTTAGATATATTTAATTCTTACTTTCTTCCACAAACATTATTCTTTCCCTTTGACACATCCTTTTAAATAATTTAAGACTGTCATCAGGGTTTCCTCAGTTTTCTTTTAGGACCTGATTTTTTTTTTACATTATTTTCTGATTAGGCCAAGTTTATTTGACTTTGATCATCTTCCATCTGTGTTCTCTTAAAGTGATGCATAACATTCTAAAAGCCTGGTAGCAAAGCCAGGCACAGTATCCCAGCTGGAAAACAAAAGGGAAACATTTTACAGCCTACTTCAAATGGGTCTCCTGAGTCCACCATATCATCAGACGAGATGCTCAAAACGGAGCCACAGCCTCCAAATCGCTCATTTCGACAGCCATACACGACCCGTGGAATTTATGGGAGTGAGTCAAGGTATTAAGTGAAAAACAAGCAGGAAGTACAGAAACCTGATCTAAGCAGTCATCAAATTTCCTTAAATGTGCTTGCACTCTTCAAGCTGAATTTGCTTGAGCTACAATTCCTCCCTCACAAAACCAGAACTTACTTTTGAATGGGGTAAGATGGTATTGCTGAGGATGCACATCCAGCCTTTCTCAGAAAAGGGGAAGCATGGGTCCCCAAAGCAGGGGCATGCAAAGACATGGTTTACTGATTGATAAAACATTCAAAACTGAACACTTAACTGCACTTAGCTCATTTCACATCCTAACAAACACCTCCAAAACATATTTTTAATCTCGTAACAGTTGTTTGTTGTAACTGAACCATCTCTTTTTCACTCTTGAGCCTCTCGCTATTCATCATGGAGGTGCGTGCAGACCCTCAAACCACCCTTCATGGCTTTCCCTGACACTCCCATGCCTTTCTTTGTGGTCTCACTTCAGAAGGAGTAATGGATCAACACAGTTTCCCAGTGTGAGTCAGCATGAAAGGATACTCATCAAGCGCACAGCAGCTGCACACATGATACAGGGCTCCACAGTTACGTACAGCACCAGCTGCGGAAACACCTCTCTGTAATCCCTCTTGTGTTGCTTGCACCAGTCAAGGACCTGGTCGATTGCCACCATTTCTGCATGCCGAGTAGCCTAGAAGATAAAAATCAGTATTTCCTTAAAAATTTGCATTTATTAACTTTTGTTGTAGAAGTAATGCTCTTTGCTGGTTTAAGTTGCAAAAGAAATTTTATAGCACCCAGACTGCAGAAAAAAAACTCAACACAAGACAGAAAACATTCAGCCACAACCTCTTGTGTGTAGCACACAAGATCCACAAGTGGCAGTTTTTTCTACTTTTTCCATGGCAGAGGAGCATGCTCAGAAGTTCTTCTCTCTCAGTCATGCCAGCACAGTGAGGCAAGACATGAAAGCTCTGCTTGTAGCTTAAGGGACACACAAAGCACACTGGCACAACTGATGTAGCCCGTAGAGTGCTTTACTTCCAAAAGCAAGAATACAGGCTGGATTACTTTCTCTGGAAATATTAACAAAGTGCTCCTCGCTGGTACCTTTATCTCTCTCTGACAATATTCCTGTGCAAGGAATGAATACATTATGAACATGCAACAATTTCAGTATGTTTCTACAACTGCCTGGTGTGCTCTGTACACACACTTTCAGTTTGCCTCAGGTGTAATGCTGCCTGGGGATACATGTACAGTAAGTCCCTCAAGCAATAGACAGGGATTTCAGTATATGACTGATTACAAAAAGACAAAGAAATATGAATTTCTCTTTTTTTATCCAAGATAACTCAATGATTAATATCTCAATGTCTATAGCACAAAAACCTGAACAAAAGTGTTTACTTTTGTGAGACCAAATCAATCAGTAATGTCCCAGTACTGCTCTGAAATGCCTGCAGCACCGTGTTAAGCCAATGAAATGTCACAGCAAAAATTTCAGGGAGTACTAGTTTCTTCAGTTAGAGCCTGATGCTTATTAATACTACTAGTATTTTCCTTCTTTTTCTATCTGTTCTGAAAAAATAGGATGTTTTTAACACAAGCATTAGAGTAAGACTTAATCAATCCAGATTATACTTGTACTTCTGTTTCATATGTGCTTATATGGCCCCTTATAGCTTCTCTCAAAACATAAACTTTTATATAATGTTTATAATGGTTATAATGTTTTAGCATGTGAAGATCTGTGCTGATAACACTGAGATGCTTTGCAATACGTGGTAAAGGACTCATAACTTATTGCGATGTTTAATACTACTCAAAAACATTTAAAAACTCCTAAAAAGGCCATGCAGCTGGTGCAGGTGCTACCAGCTTCTGCAGTCATAGAAGACAACTGCACAAACAAGATTACACTAATATAGAACATTACTACACACCAGTGTACCCATATCTTAAGTAAAACACACTGTTTTGGTCATGTCATGTCTTGAAGAGACAGGAAAATCAGGACAAATTTACCTCAGTGTGAGAAAGGATTATCCAAGTTACAGAACAGTCTTGATTTAGAGACTAATTAGACTGTGGCCCTTAACAGATATAGTCATTAAGTTTTCCAAGTTAAGAGGACTACAGTAGAGGTTTCTAAAATAATAAAAGTGGAAAAATCACAGCTATAACTGTGATTTATTATTTCTCATAACAAGTGAGCACCCAATGAAATTATCAGGCAGCAGATATATGACAAACAAAAGGAAGTACTCTTTCACAAATTACATAATTATATTGTGAAACTCATTGCCACAGGATGCTATGGAAGCCAAAAACATAAATGAGTTCAAAAAAGGTTTAGACAAATTCATGGAGGATATGTGCATGGATAGCTATCAGAAACAATGATCCAGATATAGTCTTGGACTCTGGAAGTCCCCAGGCTATTCACTTTCAGAAGTGGAAAGGATGTGCAAGGGGAAGGTTTATGCTTGTGTCTTGAGCTCCCTCCTTACACACCTATTAAAGGCCCATCTTAAAGACAAGATACAAGGGGAAAACTGACCTTCTAGGTCTGTCTTAATATTTTATTTTACATTAAGCTATGACTAGATAGTCTTTGACTTGCTGTGTATAAAATAACATGAAAGAGGCATTATTTTAATTTTGAATCACCGACTCAATTAATAAGCTTAACTTGCCAAATATTACATACTATTTTAAAGCCAAGAAAGCAAAAGCAAGTTAAGAGTAGCAAGGGAAAATGAGAATTGTTACATAGTGGCAAATGGTGTACTAAGGAAAAAAGTTGACTCGGTGGGGTAAAAGCCTTGACAGTGTCCCAAACTGTGGCAAATGTTTCACAAATAAAGGTATCATTACAGCCTTAAAAAGCTTACTTTCTACATTTTAGACCGTAACTAACAAGTGAGAGTTAAAGGAGTCCAAAGCTCAAAGTTCTGTGTAACCTTGTGACTTCATTACACAAACAATACTTCATTTTCAATTATCCCATTCTGTGCCTGCAAGATATTTGTTACAATGACCCAACAGGACAGAACCAAGAGGAGATGTCTGTGTATATCAAAGAAGCACCTAAGACAGAGAGCATTTTACTGGGAAGTGAATGATTTTATTACATATTGGAATAAAGATGCCAAAAAAAAAACATTTCTAGATGGGAAGGGTCACATATGCTGTAAGGCAGAAAATTTTCAGGTTGGTCTGAGGCAAGACTGTGAACAAGCAAATTGGGGGGGAAGCTGCCAGAGGAAACAGCACTGGCACATGCTTGTGAAGGAATCACCAGGCTGTCTAAACCCAATGTCTTACACAGGCATTTGCAGCACTGCTGCCCAAGGAAGACAAGTAGTGTCATGCCTATTTTGAAATGCTGATGCCACAGCCATTCTCATAAAAAAAAATAAAATAAACCAAACATAGCTGTATACAAACGTCCTTCTCCCAAAAACAATTTCTGCCAGAAGAATGCAATGATCAAAAATTTTGCAATTAACTTCCATAGAGTAAGCAGCAGTATTTCTGAAAGTAATGTCCTCTGCTGTGGACATGGCAGGCAAAAAAAAAAAAAAAATAGATGGAGGGTGACAAAAGATATTAGCCTGAAAACACTGGAGGTTTTGCAACAAAATATTTTGCCAAAATGAGCAGTCTGAAAGAGGACATAAAGAAGACACTACCTGCCCTCACTTCAGCCCATTACATCAGAGGACACAGGGACCTGCTTAAGGAGAAGACAGAATTTATTTGACAAAAGGCTCAGAGTCATGCTGATTCCTGAGCAAAGGCAGAATTGCAGGGAAGAACTGAAGATTTAATTGGATAAATGATCACTTTCACAAAGCAGGAAAAAAGTTTTCATGAAGTTAAAAAAGTCAGTATGTTATAAAGCTGCATTTTGGAGGCCAGAAAGCTGCCAGTCTCATAGCAATCTTTTAATGCATTAAGGCAGTGTTACATGAGTGAAACCTTCAGAGGAAACAGAGTCACTGTAATAAAAACCAGGAAAGGATAAATGTCACACAATCCTGACACCTATATATCCAGGAGGGTCTTAATAGTAAAGCAGGCAAGACAACAAACCTTTAAAAGTAGTGTTATAAGGACTAGTCCTTATAAAGGGACTTAACTTTTTTGTTTAGTTTGCCCTTATAAAGGGCAAATAAAACAAAAAAATCATTAAGGTAGCTGAGACTAAATTAACCTAGTAACTTTCTTTGACAAATATTATTCCTGGACAAGAGAAAGATCAGTCTCTCTGGACATCTCCAGTGCATCTGGCACAGCACAACCTGTGAAATTATTGTGAGTGGGGAAAACAGCCTAATGCAAGAAATGCAAGGTGAGCAAGTAAAGAACAGATATTGCATTGACAGAGGAAATATTTGTCCAAAGGGAACAGACATTCAAAGATCATTTGGGTTAAATGTTTTCAGTTGTGTCACTGGCATTAACTGGAAAAACCCCTACGGAAAACAGCTGATGATGTGATGTCTTTTGTATGATGAAAGGCATCATGAGAAGTGACAGGGTGAGAGAGTGTCTTTCAGGAGGTGGATGCCCTTCATGACAGGAGTAAAAAAAAAAAAATTCAAAATAACAAATTAAGAATAACAAAGCAGCATAAAAGACCAAGGAAGCTCCAGAAAACATGGGTAGACTTTCTTCCAGGGAGAATGTGAAGTACTGTTATTATCAAACAAAGCACAAGTCCATCTGGAATACAATTCCAGTTAAGTGTTCTTAAAAGTTCTGGTTAAGTGAATTCAAGAAAAAATGAATCAAAACTGGAATGGCTATATAAAAGAATTATTCTAATGAACACAGAAAGCAAGCCCGTCTTCTGAGAGGAAATTAAATAGCTAGCTTGAGAAAAACAGAAGCTGAAAAGGAATAAGATTTTAAATACATCCAAGCTATGTAAAATAATGCATGGTGCTGGCACAAGAAGAGGGAAATATAAACAGAACATAAAAAGTTTGAAACTGGAAATCAGACATTTTTTAGACATCTGAGGAATGATGTTCTGGAGAAGTCCTTCAGTATAAGGTGGGACAATAAATCAGTTTTAAAACAGACCTTGACATTTATGATGTCTGCTGGAATGCCTCAATGGCTCAAGAGGATTGTTTTTTTTCCTCCAGGATGGTCCCTAAATAACGCCAGAAATCGTTAGGGGAAAACTGAAAACAATTTCCTATGTTGACAGTTCATAACAAGTTCTGCTTCAAGCTTAGATATTTTTTTTAGACTACATGGAGCAATTACGTATCTGATAAAAAATTTAGAAGCATTAAGTACCCAGCATTTCCAATCACTATAGTATAAACATTTATGAAAATTGAGCCACAAAAGAACTGAAACTTGAGCTGAGCAGCAATTCAAAAAAAGGCTTGGCTTTCAGAGATATTAACAGATTACTGTTTCCAAAATCCAGCTGATTTTTTTTTAAATCAGGCTACTCATATTTTAGTATGTACCTTTAGACAGCCTTGACACCAAAAATGCCTGAAAGCTTCCCTGACATTTTTAGGTTGATTTTGATTTTGTTATCAGTCTTGTCAGTTATGTTCTGCCTGTCTAATAACATGTGATTTCTACACAATATTACTATCTCTGGCATGATTTTCCCAAGAAGGGTCTACTTCCCTAGTGTTTGCAGTGGTGTAAGATGAGACACCTAACTTCTCTGTCACCTGGCTTTCCTAAAGCTGTATTAGAATCCTCTTAATACATTACAGAATGTCCTGCAGAACAAATTATTATAATGATTCGTCTTTACTATTACATTTTTCAGCTCAGAAGAGCTGAAATTTTAAATTTTTATTATGTTTTCAGATTTGAGACAATCCAATATAAATTACAGCCAGATCCTGCAGTCAGATTAAGTTATATACAACTTCCAGTTGTACAAAATCCCTGTTAGCATTAATGGGTCTCTCGGCACCAGATCTTATAGCTAATTTGATGGTTGAAGTCGCAACGGGTGTAAAATGTGCAGGAAATAGCTCTTTGTCCTGGCCCGTGCACAGAAGTGGAGCAGGAGGCCGCGCAGGCGTTTCTCGCTCAGGTGGCTTTAGGAGAGCGCGTCTGACACCAGCAGCGGGGCAGGCGCGGGGCAGGGGCTCCCGGGCCCGCCTCAACTCACGTTCTTCGTCTCGTTGACCTCGTTCCTGCCCCTGCCTATGACCTCGCCGTTGTAGACCAGCAGGCAGCCCACGGGAACCTCCCCTTTCTCCAGCGCCTCCTTAGCCTGCGGGACAGACACACAGACTCGCCAGAGGCGCGGCACAGCGGGACAGCGGGACAGCGGGAGGGAGCTCCCGCCGGCCCCGTTCCCCCCGCGCTGCCCTGAGGGCTCCCGGCCCCCCGAGGATGCCCCGCGGGGCCGCGGCAGCCCCGGCCGCACTGACCACGTCCAGCGCCTGGTCCATCCAGCCCAGCGCGGCCGCCTCCGCCGCCTGCGCCATGCCGGCCCCGCCGCTGCTTCCGGGGCACCGCGGGCGGAGCCGCCGCCGCCGCCGCCCCTTCCGCCGCCGCTGGACCCGAGGGGCGGCCGGGCCGGGGCGGCCGGGCTCGCAGGATGCTCCGGTCGCTCTGGAGTTTCCTCAAGCGGCACAAGAAGAAGTGCCTCGTCCTTGGCACCTTTCTTGGCGGTGAGTGCCCGGTGGAGGGGCGGGGGCGATGGCGCGGCGGAAGGCGGTGCTGGCCGCGGGCCTCACCGCGGGGCTCCGGCCGCAGAGCCCTGGAGCCCCTGGAGCCCCTGGAGCCCCTGGAGCCCCTGGAGCCCCTGGAGCCTCTGGAGCCCCTGGAGCCCCTGGAGCCCCTGGAGCCTCTGGAGCCCCTGGAGCCCCTGGAGCCCCTGGAGCCTCTGGAGCCTCTGGAGCCCCTGGAGCCTCTGGAGCCCCTGGAGCCCCTGGAGCCCCTGGAGCCCCGCGGCCCGGCGGGCCCTGCCCCGCCCGGGACACCGAGTGCTCCCAGCGGGAGAGCCCGGCTGCCGGCAGGACCTCCCCCGCGGCAGGCAGGGAATCTAGCCCCGTCCCTTAAGCCCTGGAAGACTGGAATCGGCTTGCCCGGGTGCTCCTACGGCGGGTGATGGCGTTACTTTGAAACAACGTTGAAGCGCGCAAAGCGCGGGTGACGCTGCTGTTGTTTCTGGGATGGAGGCTGAAAACCTCCACTTTCTTACGTGACTTGTGCGTTGAGGTGAATTGCCAAATATCACAGAATCAATTATGTTGGAAAAAAGATCAAGGAGTCTAACCGATGAACATCACCTTGTCAACTAGACCATAGCAATAAGTGCCACATCCAGTCTTTCCTTAAACACCTCCAGGGACGGCGGCTCCACCACCTCCCTGGGCAACCCATTCCAATGTCTAATCCCTAATGTCGTACCTGAATCTCCTCTGCTGCACGTTAAGACTATGTGCTCTTGTTCTGTCGCTTGTTACCTCAGAGAAGAGACCGACTCCACCTGGCTACAGTCTCCTTTCGGGTATTTGTAGAGAGTGATAAAGCTCCCCCTGAGCCTCCTTTTCTCCAGGCCAAACACCTCCAGCCAGCCGCTCTTTACAGGACATGCATGTGCTCCAGAACCTTCAGCGCTTACTTGCCCTTCTCTGGACAAATACAGATTAGTTGCAGACACAAAACTTTCAGAGAGAGGATTTGCATTAATTATTCAAGCAATTTCTCCCTTCAGGCTCTTGTTGAACCTGTAGGGCGGTTATGGTCTAGTAAGCTCCACCTTCCTTTGAAGTTATTTTTGGGTTGTTTTTAGTTGGAAATGGATTTAAAAGAGCACATTTGATCTGTCTCTCTGTTTAACGATGAAGTGCAGAGCTGTGCAGCTGGAGGTTAAATACTCCTCAAAATGTGCAGCCATGTCTTTGTGCACTCAGTCTTCAAGTATTCTTATATCCAGTGTAAATGACACAGAACTGGAACTTGCCTGAACAGTTGAATGTTCTGAGGGCTACAGGCTTTTGTTGTATATTTTGTTTTATATTCAGGTGAAGTCCCCTGTGAAGATGAACTGTATTTACTTACGGCTTGCCGTGGTTCTTGTGTTGTCTGCATTCCTTCATCATTAATTCCTTCTGGGGTTTTCCAAAGAGTGCCAGTTGATCCATGATAATGGGCTGGGCGAAGGTTAGTGCAGTACTGGTCAGACTGCTTCTCCAATTCACCCCCTCACCTGCAGGTTCTGTGGCTCTGTCATGTTTACCACCACACTTGCAGCCTACCACATTAAGTGAACAGATGTACTTTTACACACCAGGTTGTCACCTGGAAGATGTTCTCCCTCCCCTTCAACTGTCTGTGTGAAAATGGTGGGTGGACAAATGGGAATAGTAGAAAATCACTTCTCCCAGTTTCAACAAGAAAACATGGATCAATTCCCAAGTGGGAAAACAGGTATCTGGGAACTTGTGGCTCTCATAGCCTGAAATCTTAAATTTCTCATGTATGAACAGCCTTCTGCCTGCAAACCAATCTAGCATAACTGAGTTTGCAGTTTTTTCTTTATGATTGGTGTTGTTTATATACAGCTCAGTGAGTCCCTTTCACTAAAATGCTACTGACTGAAGTGCACTTAAAATAATAGCTATACACTAAAATAATATTATTTAAAGAATTACCAAACCAAAAAAAAAAAAAAAAAAACAAAAAAAACAAAAAAAAAAAAAAAAAAAAAAAAAAAAAACCAAAAAAACCAACCAAACAAAAAAAGCAACCCAAGATGCTCTTTCTCTAATAAGCATGTCAACTGCTGACTGAAAATATTAAACTATGTTATCATTTCCCGCAGCATGGATCAATTATCTATTTCTTCAGGCCATGTAGTATTTGAGGACTGTAGAGAATTGCTTTTTATGCATTTGAGGTTGAAGTAAATCTGGGCTTCTACCAGTGGCAAATTTGCAGCATGGTATTTTAAGGGAGGGAGGGAGATGGAGTGAATTACTGCAGAGTGCTGCTTTATAGCTGTTCAGCAGCTGAATCTCGAGTGCTTTGGTCATCTACCTAGGTATGGATCAGACCTTAAAAAAACTCCACGAGCTACAGTAATGCCACCACCGGTGGAAAGATGGAATGCAACTTTACACACTGCTTTTAAATGAAGACAGAATATTTGGAAGTGGCAGAATGATTTAAGGAAAGCATCCAAATCTGCTGATTTAATAGCAGACCCTGGAATTTACATTTCTGTGATGTATTTTTAAGAGCTACAGGTGCATATTTGGGGAAGGATGGTATAAAAAAGAAAAGAGGACATCACAAAATTTAATTATTTTAAGTCCTTAACTGGCACATGGTCAGAGATTAATGTGAATATTTAATGATTCATTAGACAGTACAGAAGAGTTTCTACATTATTACTAATACAGTATTGTATCAGTGTTGTGTTACTGAATTACTGCACCAAAATCAGACTTGGTAGATTTTCCTCTCTTTACTGAAGTGGATTCCATGTATGTTATCAGTGGTTGTTGTTCGTGCATTTTCTTTTAATCCCAACACTACAACAGATTTTACTGCTTATGAAGATACAATTCTCATTAAATAAGAGCTCAAATTGAGGGGAAAAAGCAACTGAAAAATATGTGTAACTCCCCTTTAACCACAGAGCAGGGTTGAGAAGGCCTCACTTTAGTAAAGACCCTGTACAAACCCTTTCTTTAGAAGTTTTTTCTTTAACAATATTAAATACATTGCATACTGAAAAGACTTAAATCTCTTCTAGCAGTGGTCTGGGATCAAACCCACTGGAAATATGGAAAGTAGAGAGAGAGCATGATGGAGCTGCAAGGATACATTAGGTTCACGTGTTTATTGATATTTGATTAAAGTAGTTTTTACCTTGATGTTCAGCATTCAAGGTAGATTTCAGTAGATATTACAAAATTATTCACCACTGAAATTCTGTTGCTGCAGTGGAAGAACAAGCTCAGGGTGTGTCTGGAATGTATGGTTCTGATTTCAGTGGTGAATTAATTATTGCTGAATTTAATCTGTTGCAACCTTTGGCTTGCAGAAAAAGCATTTCAGTTCAGAAATCTCTCTGCTTAGCAGAGAAAGTTGGTTTGTGAGTAAGCACAGGGGCATTAAATATGTTCTGGTGAGACTCAGTGTTACCAAGAGAATAAGGCTTTACTGCCTGCATGTTTTAAAGATGGTTTTCAACCATAACAAGACAATTATATGTCCCTTGATGCATGGCTTGCTTAGACATAAGGACAAAACACAACTTACAGAGCTGTTTGTGTCCTGGAAGGATACAAGCTTCTATGTGTCAGCACAATTGCTACATAATAAAATTCTTAAAACTGAATTTTTCCCCTTTTTTAATTTTTTTTTTTCCCTGAGGTAAGTATGGCAGTGAGGGCAAAGGTTGGTTAGGGTTGTAAAAGAGGTTTCCTGAAAACTTGATCCTCCTAATTACCTATCCCATTCTTCTGCTCAGCTCTCCATTCCACCTGTGAAGAAAGGGAAGGGCTGAGGGAGAGGGAAGCCATAACGTATGAGATGCGAGGCCACTAAAGTGAGCATGTAAGAGCCTGCAGACTTTGTAAACTTCTTGCATTACTTACATTTAGGTGGGAAGAGACTATACAGTGCTACAGCCAAAGAGGGATATGGAGACAAATCAGATCATATTTATCTCAAATCAAAGTGTTGCTTCCACAGGTGCTGTAGATCCCAGGGTGCTTCCCAGCCAGCAACTAAAGCACCACAGAGCCACTCACACACACACACACCCCTTCTCCAGTAGGATGAGGGAGAGAATCAGGCCTGACCAATGCTTAGCAGCCCCTGAACAGTGCTCCCCCTTCCCCCTGTATTCCCCCCTAATTTTACTGCTCAGATGGCATCCTATGATTTGGTGTGTCCCTTTAACCTTCTGGGATCAGCTGTCCTGGCTGTGTCTCCTCCCAACTCCTTCTGACCCCCAGCCTCCTTGTGTTGGGCAGAAGAGGCCATGTCTTTGTGTAAGTCCTGTTCAGCAGCTACAAAATGTCTCTCTACTACCAACACTATTCCCAGCTGCTGCGAAGAAAATTATCCCAGGCAAATCCAGCACAGACAGCCAGTACATATGCCAATATGTTTCACTTTCTAGATCAGTTGTAAAACAGTATCAGTTGTAGTTTCAGATCCTTGCTGAGGTTCCTGTTCTTGAAGGATCTGACGCCAGGTGATGGTTTTTTGGTATCACTCTTATGTTTCTGAACCCTCCAAATCAGATGTGTTGGGAATATAGTATTTTCTATAGTTCACATTTTGATGAAGGTAGAAAAAAGTTTCAATAGGAATTACCTCCTGCACAGCCTCATTATTTATGAATTTTCTTAATTCCTGGTTTTGTGTGAAACATATGGGAAGATTCAGCATGAAGTTCCATCTATACAACAGTTTAGGTAATTAGACATAAGTATATATGGCTACTGCCACTTTTTGCAGACCTCCTATCCCATGCTGAGTGGTAAAACTAAGT